GGAAATAAACATAAGAGCACTCTGCCACAGAGCTATATTCCTAGCCCTTTTTTTGAAATAGAGTCTCACATAATTGCCCAGGCTGGTCTTGAACTTTCGATTCTCCCGCCTCAGCCTCACAAATCACTGGAATTATACATGTACATCACCATATTCAGCAAAACCTGGCTTGTTTTAGAGTTTGATTATATGGTTCCTAGTACAAGGTAAATCCATTCTGGTTAGGCCTGGTCTGTTAAGGCCTAGTGTAGGAATTCATCCCAAGACAGTGGCCTCCCAAAAACTCCATTTAACAGAAATCACAGAGCCCTCTGTGTGGAGAAAGGAAAAAGGAGAAACTCTTCCAGAAAGTCCTGCTACAAGGCTATTACAATTACCCAAATGAGAGAAAACAGCCTAGGACTGGACTCCAAGACAGAGAAATTGGGCCAATTCAGCATATGTTTTTGGTTTTGTTTTGTTTTGTTTAGTTGTCAATGGACCTTTATTTTATTTATTTATATGTGGTGCTGAGAATTGAATTGCTAGGCAATTGCTCTACCACTGAGCTACAACCCTAGCCCTCAGCACATGTTTTGAAGCAGAATTAATGCAGGAGTCATTGATGAGTTGGGTGTGGGGAGCAAGGGAAAACAATAGAAAGGGAGCAGGGCACTCACCTGCAATCCCAGCAGCTCAGGAGGCTGAGACAGGGGTTCAAAGTCAGCCTCAGCAACAGCAAGGTGCTAAGCAACTCAGTGAGACCTTGTCTTTAAATAAAATACAAAATATGGCTGGGGACATATCCATATATGGCTCAGTGATCGAGAGCCCCTGAGTTCAATCCCTAGTATCAAAAAATAAAAATAAAATAAAATAGAAAAGGAGACACCCAAGTTACTAGCAAGAATCATTTAGTGCTTGAAGATGCTATTTTTCTTAGTTGGCATAAACTGGAGAAATCTCAAATTTGGGGGTAATAAGATTTTTTAAATCCATTCTTTGGGTCCTTAAAGGTTTGAGATTCCAGGTAAAATGCAAATACCTCAAGAAAGAAGTTATTCTGAAAACTATGATTGATCAGTCTAAGTTAATTCCACACTGTTCCTTGGCAGTGAGCCACAAAACAAAGTCACCAGAAGAAGTAAGAGGTCAATAAAGAAGAGTATCAGTCATTCTTTCATTTGTTTTCATTCATCAGTAGAGTGTCTATTCTGTGTTGGAGATATTAGAAAAATAAGACAGCTAACAATTTAATTGCAGGCTGTGGAAACATAAGAAGGCGCCTAAGACACACTGTAGGGACATAGAAGTTTGGTTTCATAAAGGGATTCTGCAGAGACATTTGACATCTGAGTTGAGACCTAGAGGAAGAATGAACTTCAGCACCTTCCTATCTCCTCTGTCTACCCACAAAAAGTATTCACATTTTTTCAAAAGTATTCACATTTTCCAAAAGTATTCCTTTGCAACATATACCCTAAGTAAAACTTTCTTTTTAAAATCTATCAGTAATAGCTAACATATATTGTACAGTTAATAAGAACCAGTCCCTAGTCAAAGAACTTTACAAGGATTAACTCATTTTTATCCCCACAACTCTATACATGTGGAAACTTTTATAAACTCCATTTTACAGACAAGACACAGAAAGGTTTTTCCTAACTGATGTGACCTATACGTGCAGACCAGCAGTTTCGAAGCCTGCACACATCCAGTTCCCCCGCAAGGATTTCTGCAGCGGCGGGTCCCCAGGCTGAAGTCTCCCTGAGGTCAAGGTCCTTGGTTATACATTCAAGATGCTGCCCAAGAGGTAAGGTCCGCGCTTTGTTAAATACACGATAGTACAATGCTGGGAAGTTCTTCCTGAGGTCTCCCTCTGCCTGCTTCCCCACTAAAGAAATGGACCTGAGCGCGGGAGCCCAACCCCGGCGCCT